ACTAAAACTGGAGAGTGCAAAATCTGGTGCATCTCTGCCTAGAAACCAATCAGCTTCCAGGATTTACTGCCAAAGCTACATTGAAAAATCTGAAGTTAGAAGACGATTGGCCGCCATGAACGCACGTTGCACCAGACTCTGAGCACTCCAGTTTTCAAAAATTGCGTCAGAAGCTCATCGCCTTGTTCCACGTGCGGCCCGTAACAGCTCTTTGAGAGATATTTTATTCAACTAGACAATATCCTCTTCAGAAAAGAAAATTCTATTGCACACAATTAGTCTGCAATATAAGAACCTTAAATCGAACAAAATACACATTTAATATGCTCACAGCTCAATGTCTTCGCGTAAATGAGGTTTAAGTTTTCATCCAGGGGATTCTGGGACTTTGCGTCCTTCTCCGTTTCCAAAAATACCTACCTGCCTTCATAGGAATCAATGAAAAATAATTGTCAGTTTTCCCCAGCCAGGGGGCATTGTAATGAAATCCCATCTGCCTCAGCGCGCCGCTTTGAAATTTGTAAATGTGGATATTATTACACGTTCAGCACAGATGATTTTGTTCAGCACCAAGGACAGCTCCTGCCGAATTCACAGCCATCTAAAAAGAAAAAAAAAAGGCTTCATGATATAAAGAGCTGTGCGAGTGAGACCAGCACAGGGGACAATCATTGTATCTGCGGCAGGCATTCTTCTTTTACAGAAACTTTCTAAAAGCCTAAAGGAACATGAAAAGACATCACTAAACTCAAATCACTTTTCTTGAAACAAAATTAATTGTCCATTTTTTTTTTTTTCCGTACATGTGAAATAAACCAGCTTGATAAATGAATACCCCAATAGGACACGTTACTGTTCTGAAAGCCTTGTAATCTACAGTAACAGTCCCAGAAAGTGAACTCTAAGTAGCGGGTCTACCTACTATAGTTATAAGAACCAGGGCACCCCACTCCCTGGACCCCCATCACATACTTCATCAGGCCAGTAAATACCCACATGGAAAAAAAATATATTTTAAATATATTTAAAAAATATTCTTCTAAAATATATTAACATATATTTGAAATGCAACAATTTTGGCCATATTCAATATATTTCAATAAATATATAAATCTTCCCTCATTTTGTGTCTCACACACGTCCCCTCCCAGGCACTCCCATATGGAAGAAAAATATATTTGAAATATATTTTAAAAATATTCTTCCCAAAGATATTGACATATATTTGAAATACTACAATTTTGGCCGTATTCAATATATTTCAAAATATATTTCAATAAAAATATATAAATCCTCCCTAAATTGTGTCTCACACACGTCCCCTCCCAGGCACACCCATATGGAAGAAAAAATATATTTGAAATATATTTTAAAAATATTCTTCCAAAATATATTCACATATATTTCGAAATGCAACAATTTTGGCCGTAATTCAATTTTCAATATATTTCAATAAATTTATAAATCCTTTCCCTCGTTTGTGTCTCACACACGTCCCCTCCCAGGCAATCCCATATGGAAGAAAATATATATTTGAAATATATTTTAAAAATATTCTTCTAAAATATATTGCCATTTATTTGAAATGCAACAATTTTGGCCATATTCAATATATTTCAAAATTTATTTCAATAAATATATAAATCCTCAATAAATTGTGTCTCACACACGTCCCCTCCCAGGCACACCCATATGGAAGAAAAATATATTTGAAATATATTTTAAAAATATTCTTCCCAAATATATTAAAATATATTGGAAATACTACAATTTTGGCCGTATTCAATATATTTAAAAATGTATTTCAATAGCTATATATTATTATATGAAAACAATAGGGATGAAACAATAAATGTTTTGATAATAAGCTATTTGAAATGCAACAATTTTGGCCATATTCAATATATTTCAAAATATATTTCAATAAATTTAAAGTAGCGGGTCTACCTACTATAGTTAATAAGAACCAGGGGCACCCCACTCCCTGGACCCCCATCAAATACTTCATCAGGCCAGTAAATACCCACATGGAAAACAATATATATTTTACATATATTTAAAAAATATTCTTCTAAAATATATTAATATATATTTGAAATGTAACAATTTTGGCTGCATTCAATATATTTCAAAATATATTTCAATAAATATATAAATCCTCCCTAAATTGTGTCTCACACACGTCCCCTCCCAGGCACACCCATATGGAAGAAAAATATATTTTAAAAATATTCTTCCCAAAATATATTGACATATATTTGAAATGCAACAATTTTGGCCATATTCAATATATTTAAAAATATATTTCAAATAAATATATAAATCCTCCCTCGTTTGTGTCTCACACATGCCTCCTCCCAGCCACTCCCATATATGGAAAAAAATATATTTGAAATATATTTAAAAAATATATTTTCTAAAATATATTAACATATATTTGAAATGCAACAATTTTGGCCGTATTCAATATATTTCAAAATATATTTCAATAAATATATATAAAATCCCCCCCTCGTTTGTGTCTCACACACATCCCCTCCCAGGCACACCCATATGGAAGAAAAATATATTTGAAATATATTTTAAAAAAATATTCTTCCCAAATATATATTCACATATATTTGAAATGCAACAATTTTGGCCATATTCAATATATTTCAAAATATATTTCAATAAATTTAAAGTAGCGGGTCTACCTACTATAGTTAATAGGAACCAGGGCACCCCACTCCCTGGACCCCCATCAAATACTTCATCAGGCCAGTAAATACCCGCATGGAAAGAAAAATATATTTGAAATATATTTTAAAAATATTCTTCCCAAATATATTCACATATATTTGAAATGCAACAATTTTGGCCATATTCAATATATATTTCAAAATATATTTCAATAAATTTAAAGTAGCGGGTCTACCTACTATAGTTAATAAGAACCAGGGCACCCCACTCCCTGGACCCCCATCAAATACTTCATCAGGCCAGTAAATACCCACATGGAAAAAAAATATATTTTAAATATATTTAAAAAAATATTCTTCTAAAATATATTAACATATATTTGAAATGCAACAATTTTGGCCATATTCAATATATTTCAAAATATATTTCAATAAATTTATAAACCCTCCCTTTTTGTGTCTCACACACATCCCCTCCCAGGCACTCCCATATGGAAGAAAAAAATATAAAAATATATTTTAAAAATATTCTTCCCAAATATATTGACATCTATTTGAAATACTACAATTTTGGCCATATTCAATATATTTCAAAATATATTTCAATAAATTTATAAACCCTCCCTCATTTGTGTCTCACACATGTCCCCTCCCAGGCACTCCCATATGGAAAAAAAAAATATATTTGAAATACATTTCAAAAATATTCTTCCCAAATATATTAACATATATTTGAAATGCAACAATTTTGTCCATATTCAATATATTTAAAAATGTATTTCAATAGCTATATATTATTATATGAAAACAATAGGGATGAAACAATAAATGTTTTGATAATAAGCTAAGGTTTTAATGAGTATGTTTGTATAACTTGTTTATCTGAAAAATTAATAAATATTTAAATAAAAAAAAACGTACAACTATATTATTAAAGTAAATAAATACATAAAACTGTATAAATAAATAAGACAATCTATAAATACATATAAAGTTATAAATAAAAAAATAAAATAAAAATAAATACATACAAAACTTATAACTCTATTATTAAATATTATTAAAAAAAATAAATAGATAAAACTGTATAAATAAATAAATAATACAATCTATAAATACATATAAACTTATAATTAAATAATAAAATAAATACATACAAACTTATAACTCTATTATTAAAGTAAATAAAACTGTATAAATAAATAATACAAATATATAAATACATATATACTTATAAAAAAAATAAATAAAATAAATAAATAAATACATACAAAATTATAACTCATAAAATATATTAAAGTAAATAAATAAATAATATAAACTGTATGAAATAAATAATACAATATATAAATACATATAAACTTAATTATTAAATAAATAAAATAAAAAATAAATAAAATAAATAAATATACATACAAACTTATAACTCTATTTATTAAAGTAAATAAATACATAAAAATAAATAAATAAAAAAAAAAAAACAATAAAAAAATATAAATACATATACACTTATAAATAAATTAATAAAATAAATAAATACATACAAACTTATACCTATAATATTAAAGTAAATAAATGCAAAATAATCTATCAATAAATTAATAAAATACATAATAACTTTATAAATAAATTAATAAAAATATGACCGTACAATATATAAATAGTCAATACATTCAGTATATGCAATATATAAAATATAATATACAGTATATATATAAATTGTCGGCGCTATATAAACACCCGCGATACACAACCAAATAAATAAATAACCCTGACGATTGTGCGGTCTGCTCTTCATTGGAGAAGAAGAAGAAGAAGCGATTGTTTGTAGGTAAAAGGCAGCAGTCACTGGGAAATAATTGAATTCCTCTGTTTTGTACTCCACACTATAAAACCACACAAAATCAGGGCATCGGGGACCTGTCACATAAAGTTACACACAGCAGCAACAAAACGGGGGTATCCCGCGAGACGCCAGACGTGGAGAAATAGAAAGTCTTGCGCAGGAGTTTTTTGGTCGGCCATAAATCACTGTCAGGTCCGGTACAGAGGGGAGATAATCCTCCGAGGACTTTGTTAAAGCCACATCATTCTCTTTGTAGTTATGGCAATCCATCAGCATTACAGGCCAGTTTTTTTATTTTTTTTTGAGGGGTCCCAGCGTTGGGTGCCGCCGCAGCAGCTGGCCTCGTCTTCTGTTCCTTCTCCCAGTGCAGAAGAGATATCTTCAATGCACTATTTTTTTTAACCACTTCCCGTCCAGCCGCCGCTGTATATAAATGGCCAAACGGTGGTAGTGCAGGGGGGCGTGTTGCTGTTCATAAACGGCGCCCGCCATTTTGAATTGTGCGCACCCCCCGATCGCTGTACGGGACCTCTGTGTGAGGTCCCGATCATGTGATCGCTGATTGGCCAATCAGCGATCACATGAATAGTGGTAAGCAAGATGTCACTTCTGACATCATTGCTTACTACTAGTGAAATCTGTGAATGATCACAGAGATCACATGGTACAGGGCTATTCACAACAGCCTTGTGCCATGTGACAAGCTGGGACCAATCACAGCTCACACAGTATTTCAGCGCCCACATTTACAGTCTGTACATCAGGGGTGGACTGACAACTCATTGGGCCCCCGGGCAATAGGGGATCATGGGGCCCCTGTGTCCTTGCCCAAATTCAAAAAATCCTATGAAAAAGGTACCAGGGGCATCTCATGGGGCCCCCTACTGACCCTGGGCCCTCGGGCAGTGCCCGAGTTTCCAAATGGTCAGTCCGCCCCTGCTCCTGGCTCTACACATCCTCCCTCGGGTTGGATAGGGGGACCTAGTAGGAGTCAACCATCACGCCTGTTGGTATATGTTGTCCTTCTGTAGTTCTGCCTGTGACAGGTGGTTCTGTACATAAGTTGACTGGGGGGGTGGTTTTTGTTTGGCCTTTTTCCACCGCCTCTTTTTTTGGGGGGGTCTTCTTTTTTGGTTTTTTTCTTCCTTTACTGGATGTACAATTGAACAGTACCTAATATATTATTTGGTAATATGTGCTATATTTTTTTTTTCAGATGGATTATTACCTTTCTACCTCAGGAATATAAGAACCTCGGGCAGTGCCGAGTTTCCAAATGGTCAGTCCCTACACACTCCCTGGGGGCACATGGCACTGCAATCCCAAGCCCCCGGTGTCCTCCGGATCACTGTACAGGACATCTGTGTGAGGTCCTAATCATGTGATAATCAATGATCACATGAATAGTAGTAATCAAGATTGCTTACTACGTGTGAAATCTGTGAATGATCACAGAGGTCACATGGTACAGGTCTATTCACAACAGCCTTGGACCATGTGACAAGCTGTGACCAATCACAGCTCTCACAGTATTTCTCAATGGCTGCAAGAATGCAGCCAGAGAGAAGGAGAAATGATTGCTTTTACAGCCTTTATGGGTATAAAAGTAATCAGTGTAAAAAAAAAAAAAAATCTTCATCACCCCCCACAAGTAGTACAGTGTCACTGTGGTGACACTGTACTGCTAGGGTGACAGAATGTTAAAAAAAAAAACCATAAATAATAATAAAAAAAAAAAAAATGTAAAAATAAAAATTTTGAAAAATTATAATTTTTGGTTATAAATTAATTCTGTTTTTGTTTTGTTTTTTTTTTTGTACTAAAAAGATAGATGAATACATTTTGACCAAAATTTATGAATAAAGATTATTTATTTGCAAAATTGTATAAGAAAAACACTTTTTTTCAAAATTTTTGGACTTTTTCATTTATATAGCAAAACAAAATAAAAATCCCAGTGGTGAATAAATCCCACCAAAATATAGTTTTATTTGTCTCAAAAAAATGCAAAAAAATTCATATGGGCACAGTGTTGCATGACCGCGCAATTGTCATTCAAAGTGTGATAGCGCTGAAAGCTGAAAATTGGCCTGGACAGGAAGGGGGGTGAAAGTGTCCGGACTGGAAGGGGGGGAAAGTGTCCGGACTGGAAGGGGGGGAAAGTGTCCGGACTGGAAGGGGGTGAAAGTGTCCGGACTGGAAGGGGGTGAAAGTGTCCGGACTGGAAGGGGGGGGAAAGTGTCCGGACTGGAAGGGGGGGAAAGTGTCCGGACTGGAAGGGGGGGAAAGTGTCCTGGACAGGAAGGGGGGGAAAGTGTCCGGACTGGAAGGGGGGGAAAGTGTCCGGACTGGAAGGGGGGGAAAGTGTCCGGACTGGAAGGGGGGGAAAGTGTCCGGACTGGAAGGGGGGGAAAGTGTCCGGACTGGAAGGGGGTGAAAGTGTCCGGACTGGAAGGGGGGGAAAGTGTCTGGACTGAAGGGGTTAAACTACTAATGGCGGTGATCAGTGACAAGACTGTCCAGTGCGATCTGACACTGATTGATGCTGTGTGGTAACTGACTGACTGCCACTGACATCTCCAGGAGAACAGTACTTGCCTGAGTGCATTGTGCCAAGTGTAAAGTTTGGTGGAGGGGGGATTATGGTGTGGGGTTGTTTTTCAGGGGTTGGGCTTGGCCCCCTAGTTCTAGTGAAGGGAACTCTTAAGGGGACATTTTGGACAATTTCATGCTCCCAACTTTTGTGGGAGGAGTTTGGGGATGGCCCCTGCCTGTTCCAACATGACTGCACACCATGCACAAAGCAAGGTCCATAAAGACATGGTCCGGAGCCAGTTTGGGGTGGAGGAAACTTGACCGTCCTGGCACAGAGTCCTGGGGGGGAAACCCCATAGAACACCTTTGGGATGAATTAGAGCGGAGACTGCGAGCCAGGCCTCCTCCCCCGACATCAGTGCCTGACCTGACAAATGTGCTTCTGGAAGAATGGTCCAACCTTCCCATAGACACCCTCCTAAACCTTGTGGACGGCCTTCCCAGAAGAGTTGAAAGCTGTTATAGCTGCAAAGGGGGGGCCAACTCAATATTGAGCCCTCCGGACTAAGACTGGGGGGCCATTAAAGTTCCGGTGCATGGAAAAGCCGGCTGACCAATACTTTTGGAAATGGATAAATTAATAATAAGTAGATGCAGTTGAGGTTTGGATCTACTTATTATTAATTTATACATTTCCAGATTGTTCTATTTCGTATTAACCTAAAAAAATGGTCAGAAGTGGCGGGGGATTCCTGTCCGCACTAGGTATGACTGTTCATGAGTCCCATATCAAACCCGATCAGCAGAAGATCTAGCGGAAACGTGCGTGGGTGCTCTTAGCGTCCTAAAACAAGACGGTGTATAAAGATTCCTTTGTTCTTTGCCCGATGCACATGCTTACTGTATGCAGTCCTGACGGTAAGCAACATCTATGCATCATCCTCGGCACTGACGGGAGAAGCCCTAGAACATCAATCGCGATCTAGGCGTTTGATGTTGTGCAGCCTTGAGCGGTTTTGGGGGCAAGTTTACATAGATTAAACTGCTATGATTTTATGATGAAGACACATTCCCCATGGCTAAGATTTTACTACGAGAGCAAAACATATGTGTGATTTATCTGAGCCATCTTGGTGGTTTACCTATTAATGTGCAATGAACGGCTCCTGTAGGACAGTCTAAACAAGTTCCAAATCCAGGTACTACATGATGTCCAAGTCTCCGAAAGTACACCCAAAACTTTCTTTACCTGTAAAGTTCTCAATCCTCCCCGTTTGTGTCTCTCACGCACGTCCCCTCCCTCCCAGGCACTCCTATATGGAAGAAAAATATATTTGAAATATATTTGAAAAATATTCTTCCCAAATATATTGACATATACCGTATATACTCGAGTATAAGCCGACCCGAATATAAGCCGAGGTACCTAATTTTACACAAAAAACTGGGAAAAACTATTGACTCGAGTATAAGCCGAGGGTATCAGTAGGAGGAATAGTGCCCCATCATTGGTGTCAGTGGGATGACTGGCAATAGTGTACAAAGCAAGGTCCATCATTGGTGTGTCAGTGGGAGGAATAGTGCCCCATCATTGGTGTCAGTGGGAGGAATAGTGCCCCATCATTGGTGTCAGTGGGAGGAATAGTGCCCCATCATTGGTGTCAGTGGGAGGAAATAGTGCCCCATCATTGGTGTCAGTGGGAGGAATAGTGTCCCATCATTGGTATCAGTGGAGGAATTAGTGCCCCATCATTGATATCAGTGGGAGGATGAATAGTGCCCCATCATTGGTGTCAGTGGGAGGAATAGTGCCCCATCATTGGTGTTCATTGTGGGAGGAATAGTGTCCAATCTTTTGTATCAGTGGGAGGAATAGTGCCCCATCATTGGTGTCAGTGGGATGAATAGTGCCCCATCATTGGTGTCAGTGGATCTACTTATGTCCCATCATTGGTGTCAGTGGAGGAATAGTGCCCCATTTGGTGTCAGTGGGATGAATAGTGTCCCCCATCATTGGTGTCAGTGGGAGGAATAGTGCCCCATCATTGGTATCAGTTGGGAGGAATAGTTCCCCATCATTGGTGTCAGTGGGAGGAATTGTGGCCCCATCATTGGTGCCAGTAAATGCCCGTTTCAAGACGGTGGAGGAAAGATTCCCCATCATTGGTGTCAGTGGGAGGAAGTGTGCCCCATCATTGGTCCATGCAGTGGGAGGAAATTGTGCCCATCATTGGTGTCAGTGGGAGGAATAGTGCCCCATCATTGGTGTCAGTGGGAGGAATAGTGCCCCATCATTGGTATCACTGGGAGGAATAGTGCCCCCCCATCGTTGGTATGCATGATAGTGGGAGGAATAATGCCCCATCATTGGTATCAGTGGGAGAAATAGTGCCCAAAAACATTGGTGTCAGTGGGAGGAATAGTGCCCCATCATTGGTGGTTTCAGTGGGATGAATAGTGTCCCATCATTGGTGTCAGTGACAGGAATAGTGCCCCATCATCCAGGTATCAGTGGGAGGAATAGTTCCCCATCATTGGTGTCAGTGGGAGGAATTGTGCCCCATCATTTGGTGTCAGTGGGAGGAATAGTGCCCCATCATTGGTGTCAGTGGGAGGAATAGTGCCCCATCATTGGGTGTCAGTGGGAGGAATAGTGTCCCATCATTGGTATCAGTGGGAGGAATAGTGCCCCATCGTTGGTATCAGTGGGAGGAATAGTGCCCCATCATGGTATCAGTGGGAGGAATAGTGTCCCATCATTGGTATCAGTGGGAGGAATAGTGCCCCATCGTTGGTATCAGTGGGAGGAATAGTGCCCCATCATTGGTGTCAGTGGGAGGAATAGTGCCCCATCATTGGTTGGTGTCAGTGGGAGGAATAGTGTCCCATCATTGGTATCACTGGGAGGAATAGTGCCCCATCATTGGTGTCAGTGGGAGGAATAATGCCCCATCATTAGTATCAGTGGGAGAAATAGTGCCCCAACATTGGTGTCAGTGGGAGGAATAGTGCCCCATCATTGGTGTCAGTGGGATGAATAGTGTCCCATCATTGGTGTCAGTGGGAGGAATAGTGCCCCATCATTGGTTATCAGTGGGAGGAATAGTTCCCCATCATTGGTGTCAGTGGGAGGAATTGTGCCCCATCATTGGTGTCAGTGGGAGGAATAGTGCCCCATCATTGGTGTCAGTGGGAGGAATAGTGCCCCATCATTGGGTCAGTGGGAGGAATAGTGTCCCATCATTGGTATCAGTGGGAGGAATAGTGCCCCATCGTTGGTATCAGTGGGAGGAATAGTGCCCCATCATTGGTATCAGTGGAGGTCAGTGGGAGGAATAGTGTCCCATCATTGGTATCAGTGGGAGGAATAGTTGCCCCATCGTAGTGGTAAATCAGTGGGAGGAATAGTGCCCCATCATTGGTGTCAGTGGGAGGAATAGTGCCCCATCATTGGTATCAGTGGGAGTGAATAAGTGCCCCATCATTAGTATCAGTCACCAATGGATGAGGGCACTATTCCCATCATTGGTATCAATGACACTTGCTGACCCCTGTTGCAGTATGGTGCTGCTGCAGCCAGCATAGTGGTTGCAGCAGCACCTCTGCACTGCAGTGGGAGAATAGCTTTTCCCTCACTCGATTTTTTCGCGGGTCTGCTCAGCTCCACCTCCTCGCCCGTGATTGGGAGCCTGTGTACCTTTCCTGAGCTACAGTTCTGGCGGCCAATCACCAGTGAGGAGGCGGATGCCGAGCGTCATCAGTGAGGGAGTGGCCGGAGTGACGGAAGGAGCAGCGCTTCCTCCAATGGATCATCGTGGGAGCCAGGTAAGAGACAGCAGCCCTCTGCCCACCCCTGTACGCGCCCCCCTTGACGGAGCCTCGCGCCCCCCTGCTAGACATCTGCAGATGTTGACTCGAGTATAAGCCGAGGGGGCCGTTTTTCAGCACAAAAAATGTGCTGAAAAACTCGGCTTATACTCGAGTATATACGATATTTGAAATACTACAATTTTGGTCATATTCAGTATATTTCAAAATATATTTCAATAACTATATATAAATATATGAAAAATATTTTTAAAAATACAAATCTAAATTTTTGGAATGCATTGACAAATATATGTAAAAATATATGTTAAAAAACGAATCTGAAGAATATATTTAAGAAAAATCTATTTGTAAGAATATTTTTCTGTTATTTTGTTATATATAAAAACGCATTTCAACATGCAATATAGATATATATATGTGTGTGTGTATATATATATATATATATATATATATATATACACTGCAAGTTGAAATGCATTCCATGTAGATTTGTCCTTTTAACCACTTCCTGTCCGGACACTTTTTCCCCCCTTCCTGTCCAGGTCAATTTTTAGCTTTCAGCGCTATCACACTTTGAATGACAATTGCGCGGTCATGCAATACTGTACCCATATGAATTTTTTACCATTTTTTTGAGACAGATAAAGCTTTATTTTGGTGGTATTTATTCACCGCTGGGATTTTTATTTTTTTTTTACTATGTAAATGAAAAAGTTCAAAAATTTTGAAAAAAAGTTTTTTTTAAATTAAATTTTGCAAATAAATAATATTTCATCATAAATCTTAGCCCAAAATTTATTCTGTTATTTTTTTAGTAAAAAAAAAATCCAAATTAGTTTATAACCAAAAATTAAAATTTTTAAACATTTTTTTTTACATTTTATTTTATTTTTCTTATATTATTATTATTATTTTTTTTTTTTTTTTACATACTGTCACCCTAGCAGTACACTGTCATCATGGTGACACTGTACTACTTGTGGAGGGTGATGAAGATTTTTTTTTTTTTTTTTTACACTGATTGCTCTTACACCCATATAGGATGTAAAAGCAATCATTCCTCTTTCTCTCTGTCTGCATTCCTGCAGTCATTGAGAAAATTACTGAGTGAGCTGTGATTGGTCACAGCTTGTCACATGGTACAAGGCTGTTTGTGAATAGCCTTGTACCATGTGACCTTTGTGATCATTCACAGATTTCACACGTAGTAAGTAGAGATGAGCGAATCGAACTTGGCGAAGTGGAATTCGTTTCGAATATTAGGAAAAATTCGATTCGCACCGAATCCGAATTTTAGCAAACTTCGGGTGCACGAATCGAATTTTCCCCGATCAGCCGGCAAAAAGTGTCACTGCAGAGAGCTCCGCAATTTCTGACAGTTCTCTGACAGTTCTGACAGTTCATTTACAGCGGTTGAAAACATTGTATCTATTTGTTTCCATTTAGGATACAGATGTTTTTATTCGGAAATAAATAGATACAATGTTTCAACCGCTGTAAATGTGAAGGAACTGTCAGAGAACTGTCAGAAATAGCGGAGCTCTCTGCAGATTACACTTTTTGCTGTACTGGAATTCTTCTTCTTTTCATTCTTCTTCTTCTTTTCA